AACCACCATATTCTCTGAAACATAAACACAGAAATCATCAGAGACAGGCTAAAACGCATTCACATATACACGTCCCTGTATGCTCCTTAGTATCCTAAGATTCCTTCTTGAGTCACGTACGGATCCAGTGCTTTCAGTAGTGCGGGCTCAATACTACCTTCCACACCAACCCATATTTGTCTCAAGTCATCATTTTAAGACCCTAATTCACAAGTACTATATCCCCCATGGATATCTAACTATTCTCTCAGCAGACTTCTCAAACTGAACATCTAGGCACTCCTCCTAGACTACTCTTCAATTCTAATCTGCCGAGGAAAGATCTCTGCCATTCTCGCCGTCTGCTCCACGTGCATCAATCGTACATGATAAAGGGATCGATAGACAGTCAAATAAATGATTCTTCCTCAAGTCCACAACCAAACAAGGAACAGAAAGAAAGGCCAAATCATGCATTTTAAGGCTATAAAGTCTTAACCATGTACAATTAAGCAGCACACACAGAGCAAATAGCAAAGATAGTATCAATTAAAGAAACAACCTCCTAGGCTAAAACATCATGAATCGGGAAACTCTAGCTCAAAATTCCTGAAGATACCTAGCCTACCATCTATCATGCAGTTTCAACAGCTCAAGAATAACTTTTCATAATATAATCAAGTAAGGGTATTTTGGGAAATCAACGCTCGGGCTCTGACTGATTGTACACACTGCTTCGTCCTGCTTTCCTCTTAAAAGGCCTTTGCTCTTTTTAGAAAATCATTTCTTTTTGGAGAAATTCATCAACTCCTTGGTTTGAGTCTAGACATACCCAAGGGTGTGCCCGAATCCCTCAAACCAAGACTCTGATACCAACTTGTAACACTTGAAATTTCCAAACAAAATTTTCATTTTTAATATTTCCAAAAACATAATTTATAACACCATCTCATGTTAAGATAAAATTGTCAAATACATATTATTATAAAAAACAGTCAGACTATCCCAGAATCCACAACTATCCCCATTAGCAGAAAAGTGTGTACAATCACGCCGGCGCCTTACCGTGATCCTGAGATGTACCTGAAACACATTTACATCAACATTGTAAGCACGGAGCTTAGTGAGTTCTCCAAAGTACCAGATACACAAATAATTAGCCTCTCATGGCCAAATCTTGATAAGGACCCTCCGGTCATGTGTCTTAGTGAAGACCCTCCGGTCTCACATCTCAGTATGGACCCTCCGGTCATAACCCAACATATACACAGAACAATATAACAACATAAGTCACAAAGACAGAATGCATAATAAAACATATCTCAATATAAGCATATAAGACCCTCCGGTCAACAATACAAATAAGACCCTCCGATCAATAACACGAATAAGACCCTCCGGTCACACATAAATTACCACACATGTAAGTATAGTGAAAAGACTCACCTCTCAAAGCAAAGCAAGTAAATCTCGCACCCGAACTGCCGGTCTAGACTCCGCCTAATATATGACACATATATCTCTAATTAATAATTAATATTAACAACCCCCAAAATGCTAGACCAAGTCTCTACTACTAAATCTCAGGAGGGTAAAAATACCATTTTGCCCCTCCATGGTTAAAAGCCCACAACTTCACCAAAACCCTAAAAATCAAAGAAAGTCAACACCTAGCGCGTACACCGGGCGTACATCCCTCTACGCTGAGCGTACAACTAAACATTCATGCATCGGGGACTCAAGGCGCTACGCTGCGCGTAGCTGGGAATACGCACGGCGTAATCCCCAAGCTTCCTCTTTTCGATCCATTTGGTCTTAACTCGTTAATACAATTGCTATAATTTCATATATGGGCTAACTAGAGCCTAATACTTCACAAAATTGATGACTTTAAGCCTTAGCATGGCTGGACAAGTCTCAAGCTTACAAACTTTAACCATCTAAACATAAAGGTCCACATATCTCAAGCATGGAGAGGTTTTAACAACCTAGATCTCATTTTTATGAATCTAAACGTCCAAATACACCTAAAAGGACAGGATTTATGCTCTGGAGTTCATCAAACTCACAAAGCTTCAAACTTGGGACATAAAACCCTAGAAATGGACCTAAAACATGAACTAATCAAAACAATGAACAAGATTCGATCTTGATACCTCTCGATGATGCACCTTCAACAGAAGAACTTAGATCCAAGAGCTTGAACACCAGATATCCTTCCTTCAAGGCTCCTTATTCATGAAAGAACTCCACAAGAACACTCAATAAGCCACAAGCACTCACACAAGCTATGAAAAATGAGATTTAGGGTTTGGGGGGAGTTGGAGGCAGGAAATGGTTGTTGGAAATGAGGCCATCGTATTCCTTAAATAGGGGCACACAAGGCACTAGGGTTTTCACTCTGAGCCTAGTACGCCCAGCGTACCCTTTGGTACGTCCAGCGTACTAGGTGGCCTCCGCGTCCATGCAAGCACATAAGTACGCTGAGCGTACACATGTGTACACCCCGCGTACTCGACTGCCACTATTTCTCAAATAAGGACTAGCCATGACAAATGAAATAAAAGTTAGGGTCAAAGATGCATACCTTATTTCGGGATGTTACATTTACATTTTGTTACACGGACAATCCTTAAGAGTTCTATTTTTTGAAGGGTTGGTGACTAGGTCTAACTTTGCTAGAAATAAGACGTTAAGTTTAAGTAAAATAAGCAACATGCCTCGTATTTTGATTTTTATGTTATTTTATCATTTTATAAACTTCTTTTATGTTATCTCATAATTTTATAAGCAAGACCAAATATGTAAATGAATATAAATTTTAATAAAAACTCTAACCCAAACAATCCCCCTTGTTCATCCTCCTCCCACCCTATGATATTTTACTTTCTCTTTGCATCTACCATCATTGTTTGCCACCACTATCACCCACTTACTCTTCCATCTATGTCCCTTCTCCACCACTTCTTAATACTCGAGCTCCTTTTACACCCCCATGCTACCCACAACCACCTTGGGTGCTCTTCATCTTTGTCAATTTACCTAAAAATATCTCTGTAATGATGTTTTCATAGGTAAATTGAATAAAAGTTACCATGTTCTCAAAAAAATTTGATTTTAACATTATGTTATTTATTATTACAATTTAGTTACTAAGTTTTTCAATTTTTGCAATGTTGACCACTTGACTGGTCAACTTAGTTACTCACCAGCATGACATGCTTACGTATCTTGGTTACATGGCATGTTGACATGACACTATTTGGTTATATATGTTGACGTGGCATGAGATTGTATTGTAGTGTTGCTATTTGTAAGTTCTATTACTTTTTCATATCTGATATCAAATTAACGATACAGAAAAAAAAGGAGTTGCACAACGTTTAGCTTTTGCAATCACTTGTGTAGTCTCACAATAACAGTTGGAAAAACAATAGCCAAAACAAACACACCACTATATGACAACACCAAACATCCTTTGTTTTGGACACTCTTTGGGTGCCCTTTTTTGTTCATCGTCCCATGTTATCTGTAAAAGAGATGAAAATGGTGAAGACTTAGCGTATATAGAAGTAGTGAAGATGATAATAGTAGAAGAGAGAGCAAACAGTTAAGGCATATTTGTCAAAAGGCATATCACAACACTTCCATATATTGTTAATAAACTTTGTAGTTATTGACATTCATCAACCCCTGCACTAGTCTAAAATAATATCATCATCAAAGTTTGACTCATTCCCATATTTCAGAATCTTATTCAAATTCAGTTTTAACACTTTCTGATCTAATTCTAATTTTTACTTTTGCCTTTGGTGTATGTGGATCTCATTTTGTTTTCAGAATCTTGCTTGACTCTGCAAATAAAAGTATATGTTAGAGCAAATTACACGAATGGTCCCTATGGTTTAGGGTAATTTGCGTGTTTGGTCCCTAACTTATTTTTTTTAACTTGGAAGGTCCTTACTGTTTGTTTTTGTTACACGTTTGGTCTCTGTCTTACCCAAAAAGACTACTTTGCCATTGATTTTTTAATTTATTTAAAAAACACACCCCCAACCCCACCCCTCACCTTACCTTACCTGCCCCACAATTTTCTTTTCTTTAAATAATAGTCTTTTTAGGTAAGACAGGGACCAAGAGCGTAACAAAAACAAACAGTAAGGACCAGACGTGTAACAAAGACAAACAGTAAAGACCTTCTGAGTTAAAAAATAAATTAGGGACCAAACGAGCAAATTACTCAAAACCATAGGGACAATTCGTGTAATTTGCTCTATATGTTATTTAACATTATAACTCAATAACATTACTTTAGTCTTCAAGATAGTGTAAATAAATAAACCATATAAAGACGACTTACCTCTAGCGGTTCTAATTTCTTAAACAATTTAATTACGAAATGATCTATAAAATCTCATCATCTATAAAAATAAATAAATAAACAAGTTATGGTAGGTGTGTTATTTCATTTGTAAAAGACAAAACTTCATAAATGATGGTTTCATAAAATCTAAAGTATAATCCCTAAGTTCAAAAAACATCACAAATAGTCTCTATGGTTTCAAAACTTTTAGCAAATGGTCTTTTTAGCTGACGCCGTCATTATTTGACCGTTAATGGAAGGACATTTCCATCATTTCACAAGACAGTGAACATTTATGAAGTTTTTTGTATTAAAAGAAAGATAAAAGGAAATATGATTGTTTAATACATAAAGGCTCTCTCTATATATATATTTCTCTCTCTCTCCGATGGATAAAAGCTGCCATTTATCCAGTGAAAAGTCTTCAACCTCATCTTCTTCATTATATATCAGTAAACCAAATTCCATGGACTATCGCATCAACAATTCTTCTTCATTATATATCAGTAAACCAAATTCCATGGACTATCGCATCAACAATTGAAGATTTTATTTTCTGATTTAATGTTTGTGCTTTGGATAATTGTATCCATGGAATATAAAACCCATATTTCTTCATCTTCATTAGAACAACCCCCCCCCCACCCCCACCCCCACCCCCCCACCCCCCATGTTTCAACCCATTTCACATGATAACAAATTGAACCGTCTATATTTCTTTCTGTTAATTGAACATGCAAACACACCAGGCATCAGAACTAAACTAAGGATTGCACTTGATTATGCGATTCCATCGACAAAATTTAACTGGGTTCGACATCAGATCTGGCGATATCAAGTGTGAGTGTGTGTTTGTGTGTCGTCCACCCCGAGCACACATCTGAAGGAAAGAATCAATTACTTTGGAACGATCAAATATGGATCACGACAAGCTAATCTGTTCAGCAAAAATAAATATTGAATCAAAGCAACAAGATTTATGTAGAGAAAACTATGAAATCGGACCCATACATCACCAAAACCCAGAATCTGAATCTGATAGAATCAAGGTAGTCTCTCTCTCTCTCTCTCTCTCTCTCTCTCTCTCTCTAAAACTCTTGTAGTTGACGAGCCTATAAAGATCTTATACGAGGTTGGATTTCTGATCTATTTAGATGGCTGGAAGGTTTGTTATTTGTCTACACTTTTGATAAAAGATTCCAGGTTCACCGGAACTTAAAGTTTGGATCTTTGAAGGTTGTGAAGCCACTCTTGCAAAAAAGAACAAGAAAGAAGGTCACTTTAAGAGAGAAGGACTCAACCCCTTCAGAATTGATCACCCATAACAGGGCCCCCTCTCCATTAACAACTTTGTTGGATTAATCGATTAGATAATAAACAAAGTTTTATTATGTTAGGATAACTTTGATTCTAGAAGGTTGTTTTTTCTAGTTTTAGTATTAGAGTAGGATTCTAGTTTTATTAGTATAAATAAGGTTAATGTTGAGGATGTTTAAGTTAACTATTTTTTTTCAGCAATAAAGTTCACAAAGTAATTCCTTGTTCTTGTTATTTTCTTCTTCTTTGTTCACTTCATACCGTGGGCACCAAGGTAATATCAGGTGGTATACCTACACTTGGTATCAGAGCCTAGGGCTCGTGAAGACGTAGGGCAGCCAATTTGAGAGTCGGTTTTAAGAAAAGTGTAGCCTTTTGCTGCGGGGCAGACGCAGCAGGAACCGGGTTCTGTTTAAGGAGGTGTGGATTGTTTTTAGCGCGAGTTGAAGCATCTCAACAACAGCCCCAGTTTCTCTTGATCGGGGTTGTTCTAATGTATAGAGACTAACCGGAGGCGCGGAATAAACGGATGAGAATACGTCAAAGCGGGTGGCTTTGATTCGGTTCGTTTTGCAGGCGACGTAAGACGGTAAAGGTGGTTATGACCTTGTCGTGTTGATCGGTGGAAGAGTGCTCTCGGAACATGCTTGATTAAAGAAGTCGGGGTGGTGAAAAGAGATAATAGGACGTTGATCGATTGAAATCAGAAGGCAGAAAAGTCAAAGGGATTGCATAGTTCTTGATCAGTTTGTTCATGATAAGGGGATACCGACGTAGGTGCGTCAAAAGCGGGTGAGAAGGATCGATCAAAGCAGGTAGCTTTGGATTCAGTTTGTTTGGCAGATTGAAAGAAGACGGTGAAGCATGTAGCTTTGTTTTCTTAGTCGGTAGAGATGTCTCTCTGAAGAACGGTAATCGAAACAAAGGAAGAGATTGGAGAAACAACACAATATGAACATTATGGTGGTGGAAGTTCAAATCGGATGGCTTTGGATCTGGCCGGGGAGAGGTCGTGAATCCGGGAAAAGTCTAGATGGTAATGAACGTATCCAACGGGATGTCATGTTACATGTTACGTGTGTTGTGAACAATCAAAAGGTATGAAGGACTTTGGACGTGGCCGGTGGAGGTCCGGTGTCCAGGAAAGGTCGACAATCGTGGTGGTGTTCGTCGGTGGTTAATAGCGGAGAAACACAGTTGTAAGTGATAGGCGTGGACAAACCGATTAAGGGGGTGATTGTTGTATTAATCGGTTAGTTAATAAGGAAAGTTTTATTATATTAGGATAACTTTGATTCTAGAAGGTTGTTTTTCCTAGTTCTGGTATTAGAGTAGGATTCTAGTTTTATTAGTATAAATAAGGTTAATGTTTAGGATGTTTAAGTTAACTTTTTTCAGCAATAAAGTTCACCAAGTAATTCCTCGTTCTTGTTCTTTTCTTCTTCTTTGTTCAGTTCATACATTGGGCACCAATGTGATATCAGGTGGTATACCTACAAATTTCTCCCATCCTTTTATCGGTCGCATACACAAACACAAAGTAATGGCGAGCCAAACACCTTCGTTTTCCCATGGGATGAGCAGATGGTGATGACTGATGAGTGAGGTGCCGATGGTCATCGGTAAGATGTCGATGGTAGGGTGGGCTGGTAGATCAGAGACACCTCTTTCTTTCTTTTTGACTTTCGTTCTCTCTATTTTCTCATTCTTGTCGAACAACACCAGATCTTGCGGATCTGGGTCTCCTTCGGAATCATCACCATCATCTTCAGAATTTGGAGATTAAGAATTTGGAGATTACAGGAAGGATCGAGAGTATTGAACATATTAGAAAGAATTCGTTTGGTGGATTTGATGATGAAAGAAGATGAAGGATCGAGTTACAGGTGTATGTGTATTAAGAGAGAGAGAGAGAGAGAGAGAGAGAGAGAAAGAGGTGGGACCCTTGCATATTAATTTTCATTTTATTTTTATTTTAAAAAAAATAATAGAAACCCTCATAAATGGTCCTTGGTAGTGAAATGACGAAAATGTCATTTATTTAACGGACAAATACTGACGGAGTGAGTCCTAAGGACTAAACATTAAAAGTTTTGAAACCACATGGATCATTCATGAGGTTTTTTAAAGCTAGGGACGAAACTTCATATTTTGTGAAACCACATGAATCATTTATGAAGTTTTGTCTTTGTAAAATCTAATGTTTTAAACGGTTCAATTGCGAATTGATGGCTCACCTTTAAAATGATTTAAAATATTGCTTTGGATTTAGGATCGATTAAATAAATATGATTGCAGGAATATTACGTATATTCATGAAAAAAAAAACCCCTCTAAAATGCTCAAAGATAACTGTTCTTCATATTCCAGACTATGGTAGGATATGTACTCAGGAGCAGTATAATTTAATACTTTTGATGGTTAAAGATACATATAATTTGTCCTAAAAACTAATAAAATAGCACTATAATAACCATGAATATCAACAAAAAAATACCATAAACCATTATGGAATAGTTATTCGCATTTCAGAATTGTTCATTGTATTCGGTAGAAAGGTTTTTCACATTACAGGTCCATTGATATAAGTTTTGTAAAATAATTGAAACTTCCTAAACGATTTAACCCTAAAAATATGCCAACTATATTTTTTTTTATCAATGTCTCCGGGGAAAAAGGGAAGAAATTAATATATGACGGTTCATACAATTAACATTAAGAGGTTAAATTTCTTGGAAACTTGATATGTGGTTTATTTTAAGAGAAAATTTCATATATATCCTTGCAAACACTTAGAATTACGTATATATCATTTGAAAGTTTATAATTACTTATATATCATTATTAACATGTTAAACTCTCATTTTTATTCAATCTTATAATCTAATAATATATAAATCAATTTAATATCAAAAAATATATTTATAAATCAAAAATACATATAAAGTTATCAAAATACCCTTTCTAAATTACAGATTAAATTTAAATAATTATGAAAAACTTAGGCTGTGGGGAGTGGTCACACCCAACCCACCGAAAAAGTGCTGTCACCTCTACGCCATATCAGATTTACCACCAACCCACCATCAACCCACTAGACAATGGAAATGGTTGCTACTCCACATCATTTATATTTTTTATTTTTTTAATTTTAAAACATTAGATTAAATAAAAAAAACATTATTATAAACTTAAGTAATCATTTACTATTTAAAAAATCAAATAAACATATCATTTATTTTTAAAATTAAATAAACATAATTATATATAATTAAGGGTTTAACTTAATTCAAATAAAAGTGAAAGGGTATAATAATATTAAATGACAGAATCTCAGGGACCAAATTTGTAACTTCAATTACAACATATATAATGTCCACCCGGTTGTCTTCTTCACCCGATTTCTAGAAAACCGGTACATCCCTTTCTTTCTTTTTTTTTCCCTACTTCGATGGATTAAAACGAAAAACCAACGAAATTAAGGGAGAAAAAAGAAGCAAGCCAATAGGAAGCTCCGTCTTCTTCCGTCTTCCGATTCACGTCACACCCAGAACACCGGCCCTTGGGGTGGTGTTCACGCGTCTTCGGTCACGCCACCTCAGCATCACGCGTCTTCAAGGACGCCCACTCCGGGTAGCCTTAGCAACGTGATTCTCCTTCTCCTGATCAAACGTCAGCAACCTGATTCTCCTGATCATACGTCTACAATAAATGCTCCTGATTATGGATGTGATTTAGAACCGAAAAAATCGGACCGGAACCGGAATTGGACCGAAACTGGAATCGTTAGAACCGAAATATATAGAACCGGTTCTGGTTCCGGGTTTAAAAATTGGCTTTATCCGCGTTCTGGATAATCCGGGTTTGGGTCCATCGGGTCCGGGTAAACCAGGTCTAAAAACTGGAACCGGTGTTAGGAACCGGAACCACTTTTAGGGCCAGAATTGGTTTTTGTGAAACGTTTAAAAGATGCATATCTTATTCGTTTCAACTCCGATTGACATGCGGTTTTTTCCAACATGTAGTTTAGAGTTTGTACATGATTTTAGACTATAAATTTGCCATTTTTAGTTTTATATTCATTGAATTACAGTCCCTCAAAGTCGAGATATCAAAGCTGTAAGTTTTTAATTTTTCAGTTTTTTTGTATTCTGTGAAAGTTTTAAAACATGCATATCTAATTCGTTTGAAGTCGGATTGATATGTGGTTTTTTCCAACTTGTAGTTTACAGTTTGTACATGAGTTTAGACTATAATTTTGTCATTTTGGCTTTAATATCCAATGATTTGCAGTCCTCCGACGTCGGGATATCAAAATTGAAAATTTTCAACTTTTCAGCTATTTGTTTTTGTACTTTGTATTCTGTGAAAATGTTATACACATGCATATCCCATTCGTTTAAAGTTGGATTGACATGCGGTTTTTTTCAGAGTGTATTTTAGAGTTTGTACATGATTTTAGACTATAATTTTGTTAATGTTGGTTTCATATTTAATGAGTTACAGTCCTCCAAACTCGGGATATCAATATGAAAATTTTCAAAGTTCAACTCACTAAGTAGTAAGTAATTACCAAAAAATTCCGATTTTTCCGGGTTTTCCGGTTCTAAACCCACTTTATCCGGTTCCAACCTACCTACTTTGATGTTTCTGGGTTTTCCGGTTCTAGACCCACTTTACCCGGTATCGTACCCGGAACTGAACCGGAACCGGATCCTATATACTGGACCGGTTTCCGGTTCTACAAAATCCCATTAACCGGGTCCAGGTTTTCCGGGTCCGGGTCCATCCGGTTCGAGTTTGGACCACTTTCATCCTTACTCCTGATCATACGTCGACAACCTGATACTCCTCAATCCTCATCATAAACTGGAGCCAAACCGTTTATGGGTTTTTCCAATTTGGACACACTCAATCCTCAATCCTCATCATAATGGTAAGGGTTTGTTAACAGGTATAAATTAACCCCATCAGAAGAATCGAATTCTTTAAGGTAAGATTGTAGTAAAACAACCCAGCCTTTTCTGTACTCCCATTTAAACACACTCAAGAACACAAATGGATTTCTCGGATTCAATTGTTCTGAACTTGAACCGAGTACCAGTTTCCCTAAAGCTGAAAGATCCAATGGGGTGTATCTGATTGGATCAAAGAATTTTGTATCTATGGCC